CGTGTGGGCGGAATGTTGGCCCGCGTTTTCCCGTGTGCATGTGGAAACGCGCGCGGCCTCGAAACCGCGCCATGAGACTGATTCAGTTTGATCGAAACCGTAATTCCGCGGGTCGGGCATAAGCTGAGAGGTATACATGAACGATATCGAGTGGCTCGTATTGTAACGTGTAACGTGAATACGGGCAGGCGTAGGAAATAGAACGCTTGAAGCCAGTGCAACGTTTCTTAAAGCACCCTGAACGGAGTTTCGTGTTTTCCGCCGAAGGAGCTTTTCCCTTGGAGATTACGTTAAGACTGCATTGAAAATGCAACCGATTTCAAGCGCATATTTCGTCGGTATACGTGGCCGTCGAGTTGGTTGCAGCAGTCGACAATGGCACGGCTATAAAGCAACGTAACTTGCACGGTCGCCCCTACGATACAGAGTGAAAAATATAATTGAGGGTTTGGTTAGGTTTGGTTGAAACTCTTCAACCAAATGATGGATTTAGGAAGAATCGCGATATCGTCCTGATTTTGTTGACCTTTTAAAAGAATGAAAAGGTGGAACGTTCCGAGATATCAATTTGAGTCTCGTAAGAGATATAAACAGATATCTACTTTACGTGCACACGCAATTTCAAATCGATCGGTTCGGTAATAACCGAGATATCATATAGACACTCTCGTCGAGAAATATGGTTTTGAGAGAAACGCGATGAAACCTGCCAGACGAGCTTGAGCAATCCTGCAAGCTCTCGAAGACGTTCTACGTCTTCGTTATTTCTTCGTATTTCAAAGTGGAGCTATACGAATGTGATTTTGAGTAGCTAAATTTTACAAGAATGCGATTACGTTTAAAAGCATAGAAATATTTATATAATTAGAATAAATTGTAAAATACACGTGAATACTAAATATAAAAATAGAAAGAATGATATTTGAAATAATTTTCATTATGTTTAAACATCTGTGTAACGCTGTTCACGATGTTCAATACTCTTCTTCCTAACAGGTTGAAAACAGACAGTTTACGTCGGAGATAATGTTAATGAAAAACAGAGTAAGCACTGCAAAACAGAGCAGAATGGGAGCGGTTACGAAGTTAAATTCGCAACAACACTTTGCCAGTCTGTGTGCCAGTATTCCAGTATTGTATTTCATAGTTATTACATCTTTATTGCGAGCGTTTCAGAGTTACAAACAGGTAAACTTCATATTTACAGAGACAGCCAAGTTTGTTGAAAACAATTGGTAATTGTGTCTGTTACGCTCCAAATTTCACCTTAATCCTTAAGTAAATTCATGATATAGAATGGGATCTCGAAGCGTAGTCTTTTACACCGAATACTTGGCGCGAACAGAAAGCATATTATCATAAATCGATAGACAGGATGAATAATATCGAATAACGATAAGGAAAGAAAATGACGTGGTTTCCTTGGTATATTTTACAACGCGATTATCAAGGAGTATTCGGTGTACGAAACATGTTTCAAGGTGTATGCACGAGTACACAGCTGTGAAGCTGTGAAGTATACACGGACGTTTAAACATAATGAAAATGCTTTTAAGAATTTAAGCAAGATGTTTCAACCACGCGCAGATTACATTTATTACCAAAAAACATCCCCTCTGTTAAATTTCAAAATCCTCCAAAAATTGAGCTCCCAATTATCCCCGTTGGCGTTGTGCAAAAAATTCATCGACGAACCATGGAAAACGGGCAAAAACAGACTGAAAAGTATCACGTTTATCCGGGTTAAACGGCGTCAAACGAGCCAAACGAGCCAAACGAGCCTGGGGGCGAAAACTGGACGGAAATTCGAATATATACGAAGGGGAAAAAATATTATCTCGCGCGACGACGTCGATCTCACGCATTCAAAGAAACACCATCGGACGAGACGCGGCGCGCTGCACCGCTTTGAAGTTCCTACCCGCCCGCATTACCGCGGATGACAAAGTCGAACGTACAGGTCTAGCGTAAAATGAATTCCTGGCTCCCCCGCTCCTTTTTCCTTCCGCTTGTCGGTGGAACGTAGCGCGATCCTTTGGAGCGGCATTCCAATTAAAAGTTCGAGAGTGTTTTACGCCTCTTTTCTGGTATCCACCACCATCATCGTTCGCATGTCGAGTGTGTTCGCGCACGTTTGCCGGAGAACTGAGCAAGACCTTGATTACTTGACCGACCAAACATCGCTGTACGCGAGGCAAATAGAACTCAATTCCAAACTAATAAAAGTTGCCCACTGGGACTTTGCATTCGATCCTCGTGTTCGATGGAGGAGGTGGAAATGTATCGGGACAAAGGTTCTTTCGAGTCTCGAGGCTGCCAGACTTAGATAAGAATTGTCGCTATCTGAATAGAGGAAGGTAAGGGGTAGTTGATACTTTGCGAAAGATATCGTAAGAAAAACATTTGTAAAGGTGAAATTCTAAGGATAACAGTTCACAATAAGGCTACGCAAAATGTAAATATATGAGACTTAATATTCGTTCAAAAAGATACCAATCCCAGATGAAACCCAGTCTCTAAAGAAGTCTAACTGTCTCCATAGCTCTCACTCGAATGCAGATTCTCCCCCAACAGTCTTAACATCACACCCTGTACGAGGACCAAGGTTGTTATTCCTCGTCTCAGCCGCCCACTCTCGAGAACGACTAGTCTGATCCCCTCAGCGCGACACGATACCGTGCCAGCAGCCGTTGTAAAGATAACTAACGGTCCAAGACAGAAACATAAGAATCTACGAGCCCGTGAAGAGCGCCAACGAATGATCACGACGTTTAAAATGAGCGTATACCTTGCATGGGGCTCCAATCGCAACCTCTCCATCTTTCCACGATCTTGGCATCATTGGCCCATGGGTGTAACTCCAAGCTCTCTTTTACGAGCGTGTGCTTTACCAGTTTTGTTGTTTTAGCGTTGTTTTGCGTTAGCCGTTTTGCGTAAAATCAAAAGTATGCCAACCCCCGTTTCAGCGATTCCTGTGGTGTCCGCGGTTTTGGCTCTGGCTTTATCCATTGTGTGTAAATGTTTCTCGTATTTACACGCATGCACGCGACTCGGTTGTGTATTAATTATTTTCGTTGAATTATTTCGGCCACGGCAAGGGCAACGGGCAAATGAAAGTACTCGGAAAAAGTCAAAAGATACCTGGAAGTGGCCTCGGTGACGCAGTGGCCTGTAATGGAGTAGGCTCGAGTTTTAAAGCAGAAACTCCGAGTGGTATTTTTTTTTGCGGATGCTGCATAACAACGGCCGCAAGCGGGAATGATAAAAATAGAGAAACGGACGACGCGTATCTTTTTCTTATCAAATATTCAGAATCGTCTCAGCTACCCCCCACTTCCGGTTTTTACACTAATTCTGAGACACCCTGTATCTATGTCACTGCAGAATAAGAAACGAGAACATTTAGGATATGACCTGCCCTCTCAAGTCCCATTGTGGACTCTTCCTGCAGTTTCCAAGAGCCTAAACAGATACATGAAAACTGCACTGTATACATACAGGTAGCCCCTCGTAGAGAAAAAATCTCAGCTTATTCCTGACATTTAGAAATGAAATTGATTTTCCTCTCAATTACCGTTAAAAAAATGACAACCCCCTGCTGTTGGGTATTTTTCTCCGCGAAATAAGCAGCACTGTTGTGACATCCTTTTCCAATACTTTACTCTATGATCGATGCGATCACGTAGCGAGCACTGCAGATCGACGAAGTTCCAGATTATCGCCAAGTACTCAATCACCATCGGCCGATCCGATCGATACCTTTCAAAAGGGACTTCCTATTCTTTTTTTTTCGTTATTTTTACATCCCGTTTAGACTAGCAGACCTGTTTGACGGCTGTATTTTACGATGGACGGATTTCAACTGCAAGATGGAGGACAGGTAACACGTCGGTATTAACGCACTCTATATTTCTTATTTTAATTTTTCGATCTTTAGAGGGGCACAGAATAATCTGTCCCGACCTGGTATTATTTTATAAGCTGTTAAAGAAGCTTTTAAATCGCGTCTTATAGGATTATACTTTAAACGGAATTTAATTACGTGGTATGTTCGATGGTATCGTTGGGAAATAATTTCCCTCGTTATTAGGACGATAATATCAAAGCTAACACAGTTTCAGGCAATCCTACGGAAACTGTAGCCCGATTAAACGAAATGTAGAGTTTCATCGTAAACGTGTTTCAATTTCTAATGCTCTAACAGTGATTTGTGCGACAGTAATACAGTTGACAAAGGGACGATCTCGTTGTACAAACATACATGAATAATACGTACGAGCAAACACGAGATGATCGTTCGAAGGTTTCGAGACAATCGAGTTTGAAAATTCATTCGTTGAGATTTGTAGAGATTATAAAATAGTTTGCTTTCTAGGAATTCAATTTTTTAAGTACTTATGAAACATGTTGTGTTTATATAACACTGCAAACTGTAATGGGTAATAAGTTTCAGGAAAGGGTAACAAATGTTTAAATCCGCACAGTGTTTATCATTCTGATAAAAATAAGAATTTATACGACATGTTGCTGTTACCGTGTACACAGCTGTGTTTGACGAATTATACATGCGTGAACTCTCACGCGAGAGTTCCAAACTATTAGTTCGTGGCAACTAATCGACTATTCCGAAACCGTCGAAAATACAATACTCGATTGAGACAACAATAATTATTCAAACAACCTGAGAATTAATGTTGGGGAACTGGCCATGTACGCGACAGTAGAACCCATGGTCGCAACAATATCTTGATACAGTATATTAATAGACAGAATATCTTACTTAATTCAATATATAGAAAGAAGGTGGTGGTACTCAAACCAACAGGTGCAAAAAGATATCATTTTCTATAAATACACGTAGATCACGTTGAAAAGTAAATTCATTCTTTTCTCTAGTGGTTACGATTTCGTCTCACCACCTGTCTAACTCTAAGAACTCCGGTTTCGACGTGTCGGACGAAAGCAAAAGAAGAAAAAGGAGAAGAATAAGCGTTAGTTACCTGAGATCGTTACCCCTGGCTCCTCTGATCCCGCGTGAGGAATGTCGAGGCGGCGGACTGCACCTACAGTCACAGTGCATCACACACAGAGCGACGCTGGTCGCGAGAGTCACTACGAATGGTGCCGCGAAGAAGTGTATGATGGTGGTGACCTGCGCCTCGCGATTATAGTTCGCCATCACTATGCTGCCGTTCACGCGGCTGTAATGGCAAGGGAACTTGGCGCCCTCGTAGCCCAATTCGCGGGTGAAGTTGTCGCAGTCGACGATCGGCGGATAGCCGCACCCTTTGATGTTCACAAGGAGCGCCGCCTCGACGTCACCTGGCGTTGGCACTGTTCAAACAACGTTTCTAATGAGTTTCAAAACAATCAGGTAGCGTTGATTTTGGGTGCGCGATGATTGGATCGGCCAAGCAGCACCCGCACCGTAACAGCCAAAACACGTTATCACGGGGTCACTTGACCTCACCTGAAGTTAATTGTCTTTAACCCGTAAGAGGGGTTGTTTTATCTAAAATTCTGAAAACGTTTTTCTTGTATTGTCTTGAAGCTTTAGGCACAAGGAATAGGGTAAATAATGTGTGCTAACGCTAACCCAATCCTCGACACTTTTCACAGTCTAATTTTCATTAATATAATGTAACATTTAATACAGCAATTGATAAAGTAAATAATCTAAAGATGTGACGATCATTGGGTGTTTACCTCGACTATCGACAAACAGATTCTCAGGATTGGATAAGCTGACTTAACATGACCGATTAATCCTTTGCGCTCGGATGTCTCTTCTGAGAGGACATCGTAAGTCCAAGCAACGTTTATTAGTAATTACACAGGATAAACTTATGGGAGCGTAAAATTTGTAAAAGTGTATATGGTTCGTTAAAGGCTCTTATTCAAATATCACGAAGAATCAAATAAAAAATGGTAAATTATCACATATTAGAATAGTATAAAATGTTGATTTTTTACATATAAATATCTTCCTCGATGTCTAAAGATTCATGTAAGCGCGAGTATAGTTACAGTAAATTACATGCTTTATAAGTTACATTACGTAATGCGACATAATTCCTCTTTGCACATTCTGTAACGAAATGGCTTCGAGTGCAAAGGGTTAAGCATAGTTACGTCTTACACACTTTTAATATATACGTCGAACTTGAAAGTACTTTTTAACTAGTACGCTTAGGAATGTAGAAACTTCTAATTGACCGTGAAGCAAACTCCGAACGGGAGTTTATTTATTGGACATTTACATGACCTCGTCGCCAGAGTTTCTTAGTTAGGAAAAAAAATTAGTTTATACAGATTTATATATTTGATAAACTGCCACGCGTTAGAAACTTATTGTGATGACTCATAAAATACTTTCAACTTTCTTAACTTACAATTTATTTCCAAATATATTATTATTAGATAATAAAACTTAATAAAAGTTAAGAAAATGGAAAAAATTCTCCAAATTTGATTATTTTCTCAGAATCTTAGTTGAAAATAGAGCCACAATTAAGCGAAGCGATAATCCATGTGTGCGCAACGTGACGTGGTCATAATGTTCTTCCACCTTAAACTCTCCAGGGACGAATTACATTGTTTGAAACAAACGAAACTTCAAACTGTTATTAACCCATGACATTTATTAGCTTAGCGACGACGTTGACGTGTAACATAATAAGGAAAGTTAATTATGAATATCTATTCAGACTCTCGGTGGTCGTTTCATTATGACAGTATTTAAAATAAATTAACAATCACGTATGTAGTTGTTACACGTTGCTACACGTTTATAGGAATATCCTTGAAGATGTTAACTCTTGGGGTACGTGAATTCTATAAGTTCGTCCGAGGACTTACGATGTCCCCTCAGAAGAGACATCCTTAGCCTAAACATTCTAGCCACACTTCAAACTGTCGCGCGGTCCAAACGCTCTTCTTTCGCACCTGAGGTTGTCGTGATCCGTGCATTCGTCGAACTCATTCTCATACTCTACGTTATTATTTCACTAAAGAAACTTTCACAGCCGAGAAGATAATCCTTACCCGGAGTGGTCGAGGTGTGCGCGACGCCGGTAGAGTTCGCGTTGTTCCCTCTACCTCCGGTGTCGTTGTTCATACTGGTGTTGCTCCATGGTGTGTAAGTGACGTATATATGGGTGCACTTGTAAACGTCACTGGTGCATCCCTCGCGGCACGAGCTCCACGTGCAGTTGAACAAACCGTAAAGCTCCTCGCGTCTGGACGTGGTGCAGATAACCGGTTCGGGGGAGAAATCTGCTGCCAAGGTGCTGATCGCCGGATCGACGTAGAGGGGCACCAGGAAGAGGAGCGCCGCCCCGCCAGACGTCGCGACGAAGGCCAACGCCGAGGTGGCGTAGAAGTTGAACCGCTGACGGCAGGTACGCCGTGGCGGTCGGCGCCGCGAAGCGCCGAACCCGAGCTCCAACAGCTTGCGACGACGTAGCTCTCGCTCCTGGAAGTCGTGCTTCTCGTTCAGCTGATGCTGCTGATGCCTATGCTGGCTTGGATGATCGCTCTGGCACTGGACGCAGCTCGCCTCCAGCAGGAGCTCGGAGCTACTCCCGCGCATCACCCAACCGCTCTCAGAGAGGTGCCAACCGGAGCTTCTTCAAGCTTTCGAGGCGAACGATCGAGAGTGCTCGAGGATCCTTATCTCCACTAGGACTCATCGAGTGCTGGCGGGGCTGCTTTGTATGCTGACGACGGGGTCAGAGGCTGGATCGGTTGCGAGGTCGACTGACGAGGTTCCTCTTGCACGGAACAGAGGTAGCTTTCTGGGCCGCTTGATCGACTTTTTCCTTAGTGGATCTCATTTAGCGGATTACGGCGGCACCGAAATCTTCTACTCCGTTCCCCGCGTCGGGCTATCAACTAGGATGGATATCGATTTGGGATTAAGACGATTCCATGGATGAGAATCTTCTTCCGTGAGCCGTTCGGGACCACGTGGAAATCCGATGAGAAGGCGTCGTTGAAGCGTATCGTGAACGATGTACCCGGTCTACGATTTCGTTGAGTATGTTAGGCTTTCGAAACTAGGCGATACAAGATCCTCCGTTATCGTCGCCTGGCGAGACACGTCCGCGACTTCGCGGTCTGTCGATAACCCTGTGAAAATTCGAGGGAGGCTCCGCGATCCGCGTGCCACATTTCCTTAGTGCCGGTACGTTCCCGTTTCTGCGAATGTCCTTGACACGGCATCGCGCGGATCAGCGGGTTCCGCTATCGCGTCATCTGGACTGTCTCGAGAAGGGCTCTCTTTCCGTTGAGACGCTACTGTGTTCTCTTCGTAGTAAATAGGTCGGGTAGGCCTCGCAAATTGTCCCTACGGAACGGTCAATTCCGTTCTAGTCGGACGAGAACTTGACGCGGTTTAGAGCGTCCCCCTTTTCTCGCTATGCATAACGACCTTGCACGTTTAAAGTTCTCTTAGGCCATCGAAGCGAGCCGATCGATCACGACCTTTTAGCTGTAGTCACGTTGTCGAGCGTGGAGCATCTCGACGGTGTTCGAGTCAGCTCTCGGATCCGTGTGGAAAAGTTTCAAGGTCGTTATCTTCTTGCGCTAAACACACCGTCGTACGACTCCCCCGCTAACTATCACTGAACTCTGTCGCTGAAATCGAAGACACTCGAAGAATTTTCGTTGTCGATCGGAGGCTAAGTTAAGCCTAGTAGATTCACCCACTGTCGGAAACTTAGGCTAACCAACAATTTTCATGAGAAATTTTTACAAAGCACAGTTAGGCCTGGTTGGTTGATTTAAAAACTATGACGTTACGCGCACCACATATCTCCAATATTCCGTGTAACGCATTTCTCCAGAATCGAGAAAGGTTTTCTTCTTCCGGCTCGAGGAATCGATCAAGCGAGCACAATCATCGACCAAGTATCCCAGCGGCTAACGAGGTCGATGATCGATCGACCGTCGTTGCCATTAGCGCTTATAATCAACAGGAGCCGCGTCCTGGACGGGAACGAAGGATAACGCCGCTCGTGTCAGGCGTCAAAAATCGATCTCGGCTTCTTCTTTCCCCGTGGCGGAAGGACGCGGTGCTTTATCGCGTCGATACTATTACTATAATCGAAGAAATCGGATATCGCGACACGATCTTAACGAACGACGGGCCGCCTTCTCGACGCGGCTCCTCGTCGACTCGGATAAATCCTTCCGCTATTGGTCGAGTCCGATTACCGCGAAGAACATCTCCTCTTCCTTCTTCCCAGCCCACGAAGAACAGAAATATATCCTTCGTCGGTCTCGATCGCCAAGGATAATCCCGTACGGCAACTGGTTGCTTACTGTTTCTGATCTCGGAATCTGGCTCGATCACGTCGCGGCATTCGTGTTTACCTCAAACATTCGGACACCTGGAGACACGTTCACGCCGTGATCGATGAATCCTCGATCCTACGGACACCCTCGACCTAGAGACCACGCACACTGGACATTCCTCTCTCGTTTAACAGTTCTCGGTCGACACTCGGGCACAGGGCGCGCAAGGACGGACTCTCCCCCGCGTGAAACACCTGGACACCTGCACCTGGCTCTCCTCGAGGTTCAAACCCCCCCCGAAAAATGCCGTCCGTGCCACCGTGCTCCACGGGATCCGGCACAGAGTGCAGGAGCTAGAACTCGCCTAGCTTAAGAGTCTCGATCCTTGTTACATCGGGTACCTGCACCTACGACTCGCGTTCCCGGTACCATCCGCCTCGCGGATCGCGAGTTAAAGCGTGACTACTCGTCGAACCTCAGCCGAGAGTCCTCGACGGGACAAGCTTTCGTCCGAAGCGACAGGGCGGGGTTCCAGGCGCGCATGAGCGTGTGTTGGCTCTTTGCTCCTTCAACCACCCACTGCCACCTTCCCTCCCACGTTGCATTCTCCTTGTTTACGCTCCTGCCTGGCCTCCCTTTTTACCCGTCTCCGAAGCGGCGCTTTCGCGTCCTCCTCCGGCCATTATCATCCTTTAATCGCGACCCATAATTAAGCCAATTTTTCGGTGTCGTCTTTTCTCTCCTCTTGGTAGCCTTCAACTTCGTTAGGAGCGACGAGTAAGTGGCACGGGAAACTGTTTTTCCGTCGCTTCGGCTTTTGGGAGTTTTTCTTCAAAGAATTTCGACGATTTTTACGGTTTGGTTTGGAGTCTGGTAACTTTCTTAATGTTTAAGATGAAATTACATTTTTTGTGAAAAGAATTCTTCGGTTAGTCGTTGAAAATCCTGGCTTGGTAGAATTGTATACAGAGGGATTTCGATTAACCGGGCCCATTGGGACCCCCAAAGTCAGTCTCATAAGTATTCGGACCTTCAATATCTATTGAAGAAATTTGCCTAAATTAAATTATTGCACTATTTACAAAATTTGTCTGATTTTTTAAATCCCAATTCTAAGACATTCTGATTAGATTTATAATTTGCAGGGAACGAAATGAATCCACTGCGATTTATGGGTGACAACAACATAGTGACGATTCAAGGACGGTACTATGTAGTCAGAATGACGCTCTCAGTCCTTGGTTTCCAGTAAAACAGATGGAAACTGATATAAATCGACTTAGCTCCGGAATTGGATTTAAGTTTTTCTCTTTCGTGTTTTCTTTTTTAGGCACGGAGAGTCTGAAAGTCTCTCTAAAAAAAAATACGATTACACGTTACCATGACTACACAACCAGAATTTAATCGAGAATTCTATCTAAATTCCTGTCGTTTCGTCATTTTTCAAACGTCCTCGTACAAAATTGTGTATTGGAATAATCGAAGAAGATTAGAAAGCATCATAACACGTCGCCGTGTTACGTAACACGCGATGCTAGAATATTTTTCCCATTTTCACAGCGATTTATTTTCCTTTGAAGCGCCTTGTCTCCAGCGCAGCGAAACAACATTTCATCAAGAGCGTATTCCACGTTTCCGAGCATAAATCAATCCCCCTCCTCCTCAACCCCCAGCGAATCTCATCCCGCCTCGCCTTTTTACCACGAGCCATCATCGTCGTCGTCGTCGTCGTCGTCGTAGTCGTTTTAACGCAAAACAATTCGGCTCCGCAAGCGCGACGCTTGGGTTTTCGCGAAAACCGTCGCGTCGCCGCTGCGCAACAAAAGCAACAGTTTGCTCGTAAATTCCGGAGCCAGTCGGTTCACAAAATGCACGCAAAGAGGAATCCTCGCGACGTCCTTCCACCGTTGCCCCGGCTTAAATATTAATTACGCATCGCGAGCGTCTCGGGGTGGTTCCGAAGGAGGCCGTGGCGTCGCGACGCGATCGCCTCGTATTCCTTCGCGACGACTATAATCGCTTGGCTCTCGTTTCATCGACGCTGATCTACGGGGTGTTCATCGTAACGATCGTCCAGTATTTTTTAGACATGATAGTTTTATAGAAAAAAGAAACGAAATTAGTGTCCATCTGACTATTGGTAGGAGGAATAAAGTGGTTTTTCTGTGCTGTGTTGGGTGGATAAGATATCTTCAAATGGAATTATTATTGGAGTCGTGAGAGTATTGAACACTTATGTTTTCACAAGGTTTCGTAAGGTGTAGATTGTTAGCAAATTTTATTTTTAGTTTAAGAAGGCATTCTAATCTATTTTTTTGAATTTTTCGTTTTTAAATCCATAAGGAATTTTTGTATAGAACATTGTATAGGAAGTTCCTGACCAAAGTATCCTTTTAAATTGTGTACTTCAGAGTTACATTATATCGTTATCCTTTTTTCCTATAATTTCTAAACTATACAATAATGTTCCTTAGCGAAAAGAAAATGGCATAATTTCTTGTAATTAATAACATCTTTTTCTAAGATCACAGTCCAAGGAATCGTAACGACCGGTTACGATGAACACTCTTGTAGTCGGGGCGTCCTACTTTTACGCACAAGTGGCCATTGTTTTCGACGTTGCCGTCGAAGGCAACGGATTCAGCCAGTTATCCCCCCGGCGTGTGTTCACATTTCAAATCCTCCTGATGTTTGTATGATTTCCAACGTCCTTGCGGTTCGCTCAAGAAACGCCGGAACGCGACTCCGCGGCAGTCGAATTATGTTTGCCTAGCTGCGAGGATGGAGCTTGATTGTCAGCCAGCACGGAAATTATTCGTACGGTGATTAATTCTCACGAAAATTTCGCGGAACAGTGTTTACGAACTTAACGATCTACTTGCTCATTACATAGGGGAAAATATATTTGCACGGATTTATTATACATACCAATATTAAGTAATAACATAATAATTTTTATCTAGATTTTTTAAATAAAATAGCGATACTGGAACCATATAATTAGTCAATAGAAAGAATTGAAAGATTGTCTTTGGGGCTCGCTGTACGCTGCTAGTAAATTACCCAGAATATTCCACATCTACCAGGGGCTGGACAAATCCTTTCGAGGCCAATGAGACATCGTAGACAAAGAAACCGGTAGACCGTATATCGGTTCCACGATACTTTAAGAGGATGAACCACTTAAATCTCGATAAAGTGCCACATTGTCCCCATCTTCTTCGTCGTATCTACCACGATCCAAGCCCAGCTGCTGCATTTATGCGCGCAGAATGTAAAGCAGCGACTGAAAGAGTTCATAGATTAATATTTCTAAAATTCAGAGGGACGGCGTTTCGCCGGCTCTCCAGTTTTTTGCGCGCCATGAAAGGGCCTTTGTATTCTTCGGCCTGCAATTTGTTGAAATCCAATTGAATGCACCCGGATGAAAGACACTTTCGAAATTTTGAAGAGAAATGACCTGGCGTATTGAAATATATAGTCTGAAATCACGTCGAGCCAAGCAATTTCCGTTTCAGCCTCGGTTTGAAACTTTGTTAAAAGTCACGCGAGGTATCCTTGGTTTAGAAATTTTCATCCAACTAATAATTTACAAGGCGACAGAAGTTTTCGCAATTTCCGTTTACACTGTTGCGAGCTCAACGATTGTTCCGCGTTCTGAAGATCGCTAAGTCGACTTGTAGACATTGAAGTAAAGTTTGTTAATGAAAGTTTACAATGCAAAGCAATGCCTTTTTCTTTCACAAACGTTATGTTCAAGGTGACGCCATAGATGTGAGGTTGATTAATATGAAGAGTTTGCGGAGACGTCTGCCAGTAAGAATTTTAATCTTTACACTGTGGGAGGAATTTGTGACGTTAGAGTCCTTCCACAAGGACGCCATTACTTTTTCTCTCACTTTTCCTGCAATGCTGTAAAGTATTTATCGTACATGATACTTCCGTTTACATCTACGAATGTACGAATTTCACCGTTACTTTGTCCCAATCATGTTGCAAAGAAAGCCCGTTTCAGGTGACACTAGAGTTCGTCTACAAAATGGTGGACATCTTCAGAGATATAATCCATCTTAACGAGCGCGTCTAGCAGAAAATCAACTGTGGCATTGGCGATCGTCCTAGATCGCTGGGCACGACCTTAATTCATCACTTAAGTCACGATGTGAACGCGTGATAAGAAGACTGCCACCCGAGAGATTATTAACGCGCCCCCGCGCCTTCCCTCCAGATTACGATCAAACTCCTATCACGCCTCCTCCTCGCCGCTTTGATTCAGTTGAAGCGAAAGTTTTTCGTCGGACGAGGGTCCGTCGACGCAGATTATTGCGTTCTTATCGTCGCTGTTGCGTGCCTCTTGTAGGGGGGGCTTGGCGGAAGAAAAATTACATGGCAACGATAGGCGAACAAGTCGAAACAAGTTTGCTTTATTCTAGTGTCGGATAGAATTTTATTTATAAAGACGCAATGTCGTATAACTTGAGTATAATTTAATATAATTCAACTATAATTTATTTAATTCTTGTTTGACACTACTTTGCGTTTACGTTTGCTTGCATAAATACATCTCTTCAGTATTCTCTAGCATTCCCATTAGGCATGTTACCCCTTTGCGCTCGAGTGGCGTCTTCAGGGCGACATATGGAATTTAAAAGTTTTCGAATTGCAAAATATGTGAATATAAAAATACACAATTCAGTTTTTCATGTTGACCGCGTTGAAACGAAACGATACGTTATGGAGCTGCCATCTAGCAGTGATAAGTCAAACTAACTCGTTCTTAACCGTTTGGAAACCATGGGCTGCTTTCGCGCTCTTCAGATTAACCGCTAAACTAATTAAGAGAATTTTTCCAAATTTTCTACATTACCTACAATAGAGAACTCAATGGTGACATCTAATGCCATGGATGGAAACTATGAGAAACTCGCGCGTCAATAAGAATAATCCTTTCTAACATATTTCCTATTTTTAAATAACATTTTATGTAAAAATCTGCCAGAACGTTTCAAACGACCAAACTCAATATAATCTTATAAGCATTAATATTATAAAAAAAAGTACGAAGCAAGATACATATAAAAATCAATCGAAATATGCAGCTAATTGTAAACATATTATTCGTGTACATTACAAATTTCCAAATTTTATCCACATTTTTCTACGCTAGAAATCTGTATTCCCATCCTTCTTGAATTTAAAGACTTTCTCTTATTCCAGAGGTCCACCATTCCTTTCAAAAGCAATGAGCCAAATTAATTGGCTAGCTGTGAATCTAGTCGCTCTCGGCGTGTCTTGCTGTCTGGTGATTAACTTCCAGCTACTGGAAACTTTACTTCCAGGTTCTCTCCTTAACAACTTACTCGCAGCTAACAGGATCAATTGATTAACTGGAAGCCTGATTGCTTCCAGCGTAACAAGCCTCTATTCTGTGGCACCCTTAACACGTTTTCCCTGTATGTGCATACAAGAGCGCAACGACGCTTGTTCTATATTCTACTCTATAAAAGAAGAAGTTGGACGCATGAAAATCGCAGCTATATTCAACAATTTTTTGTTCGAAAATAATCGAAGCAATAGAATATCTACTTGTACGAGTTTATTATACATATATTGAATAATATAAAGATAATTTGTATCTAAATATTTTAAATAAAATAACAATACTAGAATCATCTTACTTCTGTCCTCATGTAATGTTACACGGACGCGAAACGTGTTCCTGCGATGGAAATCGATGAATTTCACAAATTAGGTTGACTTAATGCAAATTGCATGCAATATGTGTCGTGTCGACACCACCTTGTGAGTAATGCCTTAAATATTCGCGCGGTATCGCGATTACGTGGCAATAAAGCTGAAACTCGTTTCTCGGTCATTGGCTTCTTGCAAAACCGCGATACAGTATACTGTTTTGAATTGATTCATATTTTTCTACGATACATTACAAAATAAAACACACTTTCTATGGAAACAGTTCCATTCTCTTAAAACTGACGTAAAGTATTCTTCAATTTAACTGAGAATTGTCCATTTAATTTCCTTTTAAAGAACTAACTGAGCTACTGAGTTTTAGAAAATTCGATTTTGTGATTTTTACTTGCATTAAATAGTTCAGAAGATTAATTACTGTAACTTACATAACTGCAACCGCAGCTTTATATTTAATTACGCGTTTCGTAATTAATAGGATGATTGTATACGCTGAGCTACATTTTATGCCTACTAGAAATTCTACTTTTTAATGCTAACGCATGGATGTCGGGATTCTATTCCGCGATGCATAAATCTAAACAATAGTATTCGGGACAATGAAGACCAATCGTCAGATTCGACGAACAACTATCTAAGACAAGATGCAATTGACACCATGGTGTCCACGAGTTAAGTGGTAACTGTTTAAATATATACCGAGTTATTCATTGTACGAATTGTCTTCGTTATCACAAATTCCCAACTTTTTACAATGGTCCACGATAAAATCATAATTGTATACTACACACAGCTATATAAAAATCATTCCTAACCAAAGAAAGAATTCTTTATGAATTAGAAAAAATGTTACAATCAAAATCCTACTAGACAATTCTCGCAACCATCGCCAGAAGAAAGCCAATCCCGAAATCCCCGGATCTGAAAAAACGAGAAAGTCCCTGGAAAACACAATTACTGACCCTCAGTCATCGCCGAATTCCACAAAAAAGTGGCCATGGCTGGATATCGAGCTGCCCAAAAAGCGAACTCTCGTTCACCTCGAACGACGGCGTCAGTAACCCCTACGCTCGTCCACGCGCATGCACCACCCCCGTCGTGGGGTTGACTGCCAGAGAAAGAGAGTCAAGGAGGGGGGAAGATCGAACGCCGACACCGTTTCTCGCAGTCTCCTCCCGTTGTTCGCGCGTGCACCGAAAGCATCCTCCTTTCCTGCGCGGCTATCACGAACGAGAAAGGAAATAAAAAAAAAGAAGAGAAAACCGACGGAGCAGACTCGAATTTCGCGAATCGACGCAGCCGTCACGTATCGAGGGTAGTTTTCCTTCCAAGTCCCAGTGTCTTTCTCCGTCCTTGAACGGTTTCGCTGGCGGATCTAATGCGAAGACAGCGACGCGACGCTTGGGAAGCTTCGTGAACCCTGAAGGACTCGGCGTCATCCTCTGGGAACATCACCAGCTGCACGTAACGCGACCAAGTGAGTACGGCTTGCCAAAAAATATTTTTAGAAAGTGATGTGCTTGAGATGACGAAGGATCTTGTTTGGTGGATGTTGAAGGATCTGTTTTATGTCTCAAGAAGGAGGTTGCTTGGGGGATTATTTATGAGTTCGTGAAGTAATGGACGCCAGGTGGATAAACCTGCAGGGCTACTCACGAACGAGGATTTAATGTTTTCATAGAAAAATATAGCGATACAATCGACGTACTTTACAAGAATTATTCTTGTGGAGGTTCGTATTTGTGTTTATGATGATTAGGCACATTGAGCTGCTGTGCCAACAAGTTTCAAGTATAATTGATTTCGATATGAAAATATGTAACACACTTGAGGGATATCTATTTTTTTATTAGTTGTTTATAAGAGCGGGTGGAAGAAACAGTAGAGAATATGGAGTAGAACATTGCCCAACAAATACAAAAATAAAAAATTAACATGTAAAATAAGTGATACAAGCGATTTATTATTGTATGGCAATTTTGTCTTTTGTTAAATTGAAAGACTTGTAATAATAAATAAATGATCCATTCATAAATTGCTTGAATCGCCAGGAAGATCTATGATTTTTTTTTAAAAAGAAACGATTTAAAAGGAATAATTGATAAATAATTTTATTGAATAATTTTACGAAGAAGTTTAAAATACTCGAGTCAAATTGGCCAACTTGGTAGTTTAGTGTTAAACAGAATATGATAACATATACCATGCGTAAGTAGAATGTGGACTCAATTGGGTAATGTCTGACTAAAATTCTCGCATCGTTTACTCGATTGGAATCATTCAAACAAATTGTTAGTTGTTCGCTATGAAACGTAATTTCATTCTACAAGGTTTGCCATAACGAACAGTTCAACTGGAAAGAAAGTGATTCTACATGCAAACAGAAATCGAAAACGTGAGATAAAATTTGTTGGACGGAGCATCCGTTTTGAGAAAATCGATTTCGAAGAAGCATAGTCCGATTGTAAGCGCGCGCGTCATGATCCGATTTACCTCCATATATATCTCAGCATTTCCTCATCGCATTTATACACGAATCATATCGAGTTAATAATAGGAAAACGCTATTTTAGTTTATAACGAGATGGAGTTATGAAGTGGGCCATAAAGGTTGTAGAATTAGAAATAAGATTTTGGATGAATAGGATTTATAATATTGGAAATAATATTTTGAAAAAATCAAATTGAACCGATAATGCTGATCCAGGTGTTTTTGTATAATTGATCTCATTCGATAAGAGTATACCGCGTTTGGAGCAGAGTACACAAAAATCAAATTTATTGCCTCTGACCTCGAACACAGCGACAAACACATTGTATTCTATACGAGGGCGCCACGACGTCTAGCGCCGCGGGTACGCAATCTCGAGTGATTAAGATCAAGCTATCGCATCGGAATGCTCGACCTACGCAAAAAAATTCCACAAGTATGACGTGGAATTCCTCTTTCGTCATGGTGAATGCTTTTATTAAGAAACAACCTAAAATCGCTCTTCCAAAGAATGAATTCAAGGAAATGAATATACGTATTAATTCCTTCAATGCCTGAAATAATTCATGCTTACAAAATGAATTAATTTAAATAATTTGTACAAAAAGTATCTAACATTATTCTGTATTAAACAAGTGAATTCCAGTGGATAAAGTCTTAAAAAATAAACGTCTAGTCTCGACCAAAGAATTATAAAAAAAATTCATAATTTAAAAAATGCTGACTAAATATTCTTCTCTCTACATTAAACGAAATCATCATTGTATTGTATTAGTCTGCAGCATGGAAGCAAGCGCATTCACGTTACTAAGCCTCGTCATCAGTATTCTTTGAACAACTACGGATAGCTTTATTTATGCGACTCGTATTACAATATTTATACTGGCAGGCGCTAAGGTGTACATTTCAATGGAGAAACGCGACAGTGTGTCGAATAGGTATTATTTCTGTGTTCCTCGTCAATAAATCGTCCAATCAATAAAACCAGAATCCGATTCAATGGATGCGCGAGACCGACGTCAATTATTTAGAGGACTCCGTACCCTCGATCTGTGTGTGCACTTGTAATGAAGAAACATTGTTTTTGAATAGAAACATGGAGTATTTATTGATTGATCTTTGATCAATGATAAAATGGCCTATCGAAAACTTTACCATCATTTTTTGTTTGTTTGGAAACTCAATGATATGGTTGATTTACTTAATTAGTGTCAAGTGCTTTACTTTATTCATAGTTTTTAATTGTGTTTTATTTGATAGTAAAAAGTACTTGGATTGTTCTTTCAAACAAACGGATTAAAATTATATATAATTTTGGAGTGTGGGAGTGTTTGGCGTGCTTATCGATAGTTTCGCTGGCTGTATCGATACATTCGATACTTGTCTGAACCTGGAACCTGGGTATCTGCTTGGCCTTAGTGGAGCCCACCACCGCGAAGGGTAGAAAGGACTTGGTCGATCGATGCGTGACTCTGCTTACGACACGCAACAGAAAGAGAAAGAAGGATGGCGGAGAATAAAAGAGAGTGAGAGGGAGCAGAATGTCCCCTAAGTTGGGAAAACAGTCGGGTGTCACGGCTACTCCGTTATATGCAGGCCTCGTTTCTTTCCCTTCTTTCCTATCGTTCCACAGTTCTTTCCCTTCTTATAATGTTCGCTCCTCCACATGACAATGACGAAACTTTATTCGCGAGAGTGCGACATTCACGGTTACTTCGGAAGAAACGTTCTCGACCTTGCACTGAACCCTTGGAAACCATTGTTGATATCATTTCTCGCTGTTTAAGGAGGAATTATGAGGGAAAGAAATTCAAATTGCAAATGAAACAAAATGTGTCAAAAGTTTATAAAGTATGTGGGCTTTTAAAATCTCTGCAACGTAGTCCAATGAAAACTGGAAATCATTGAAAATAGATGCAGCTTGCATATACGATAAAGGTAATCCTTTCGTTGAATCTATCGGATTTTTTCACCGGTAGTATCTGACGATGTAGAACTATGTATCAACAGGCGACAACATCCCTCTTATCGCCTTGCTCTGAAATGTGGAACTAGCTAGAATCTTTGCATCGATCATGGATATTATGTTACAAGCTCAAAAGGAAATCTAATATGTACTAAAAACGAAACTAATTTTTAAGATTTCCTTTCACGTTCCAGTTTGAGAATGAAAATCAGCTTTGTGAAAATCTATCTATTATTGATGTTCTATGTAACAAACTCTATTGGGTCAATCGATATCGATCGGGTAAATGGTCAATCGTGGATGTAACTGCAAATAGTCGTCAGGAGCCTTTGGCACCGTGGAATAACTGTAACTTCGCTCGTGGTTCTCTGAATGCCATCTTTCCGAATGAGAAATAGGTCGGAATAATTGAACTACAAGTAACACTTCAATTCGAAGATTGCATTCGTTATTATTAAATTAATATAATAACACATAAGACCATTTCAGTTTCTCATGACTTGGTGATCAATCGCGTTACTTATCGAATGATATTCGTCAAACCTAATCTTTCAGAACAGTTTTTCTTAGGGGAACATTTCAAGATTCTCACTTTTCCAATCTCATTCGAGAAAATTACAATCCCCGTGTTGTACATATTTGATGAAAGAACCAAGTGAACCGAATTGTTTCTCTTGTCATCCTCCCTTCCATTTTTGTCTGGACGTTAACTGTCACATTAATAATAAATTTCACTCACGGAAATTGAACTGAACTGACCCTCGTCACTGTTTCGCATGATTTAATTTAAAAAAACAGCTTCGAGTCAATTTAGTGCCAGGACTCGTTGATTTTGTGCGAATCTCGGATAAAGAAAGATTACGAAACGTTACCTGCGTGCCCTTCTGCTAAAGCGAGTGTTTAGAATGCTTTGGAATCGAGGTAAACGGATGAGAAATCGGAAGCCGTAGAAAATAAGTAGGCGCGAAATAACAGAAGTAAACTACGGGAACAGTAAAACAGATACGCGAGGTAATCCTCTGACGGTTTCAATCTCCGGGGAGGAATTGCAAGAAACAACGTTGTATTTTATGTACATTCTCGGGGGGGTACAACCTATAAATTTTAGAAAAGGTTGCAAATAACGAAATAAAGTGTGACGAAACGGCTGAAAATAATTTCTGAAAAAAAGCAGAGTATAATTACTTATCCAAATGACTTTCATTCAAACCAAAAATATTCAAATATGAATGCTTCCACGCCATACATAATTCTCGAAGAGCTCAAAATAGTAAAAACACTGTAAACTGACGAGTAAAAATGTAACAAGAAATGACAAATTATTCCAAGCAAAATATAGTCCTTAAAATCATGAGCATACCCATTAGCTAAAACACAAAGCAAGCTAAAAGCAACGCGCAACGATCGATTAAACAGTTGCCCCAAACCGCTACGCGAAGCACCTAAATACCCATCCGTCCATCCCTCCCCCAAAAAATCACGCACCCTCAACATACACGACACAGAAAATATTTAAAAAGTATTTAAAACCAGCCTACCAGCAAAAATCACCCCAAATGAAAGATTAGAAAAATTGAAGGAGTGTTTAGCGACCGAGTGGAATGTCAGATAGAGAGAGCCAGGGACATGGTATAGCCGCAGGTAGAGAGAGAGAGGGGGGGGGGGGGTTGATAGGGAGGGTGAGGGAGGTGGGGCAGAGAAAGGAGAACAGGAACGAGGGTGTTGGTTGCGAGTCGATAAACCAGGGGAAACGCGAACACCCTTGCGCACGGCTTCAACATGGCGGTCGGGGTGAGTCCCATTCCCTTTTTCCATTCGGGATAGGTAGAGGAACTTGGTCGCAGCGATCGATTCCAACAGCACGTTGCTGTTCTCTTTTTCTTTCACGTTCCTGTGTGTCGTACCTGCGAAAATGATCCAACGGGATCGATGAGCTAATCGCAGCCACGCGGTTCGCGTACGTGTATTCCGTCGAAGAATGAGAGTCCTTCCCTCGTGAACGTGACATACCTGTGCCGCGCTTTGTTTGGCAGTTGTGTTCTAAGATGAAGCCAAAGTAGAACGCGCGTTGTGATTTGTGTGACACCACGTCGGCGAGTATTTGTTTAGTATAATAAGAATCGACCGAAAAGTTACCCGCGGAAGGTCTTTGATTCTTCGCACTATAGCGCCTCAACCACCGGTCTATTTAAAAAGAGTCAGTGGGTGACGAATCTAATACATGGATTTTGCTTGGAATAATTTGTAATTTCTCGTCTTGTATTTGAGACTTACGTGTTGTTTGGCTGACAATTACCTTCCGAATAGTGTAAATTTGCTTATTTCCTAAAGTTGAGCATCGTTAGTAGACAACCGCTAACATAATAAATTCCAAAAGCTAACCGCTAAAATTAAAAAGCCTACAAATAAATTACTCCTAATTAAGGTGATATAATTGCCGCAGAAACGCAAAGAATCGTTGCTGAGGAACCACATTGACCTTCTATTTCGATTATTTCCAGACGAGGATCCGATATGCGGCTCAGGGAAGACGTCATCTCGGTACCGCTGCATCCTGGGGGACTGAACAACAAGTAAGCGTAACGTCCATCATCCTCGACCGACTCTGTTCATCGCGAACCTTACGCTCTTGCCTTCTTGTCCTGTAGCCTTGATTCGTTTCATCATCGCTTTCGTTCACCCTATCGAGCTTCCACCGGGCCCGATTTCGCGGACTCGGGCAGTGCTACCCCTGCGGCAGGGCGAGTTGTCGCGATTTTCGTGAACTTGCTGTGTGTGGAACCACGTTTCTTTATTTGCGAATGGCGTGGCTGCGTGGAAACCTTTTTATTTCGCGCTGTCTTTGGTTGTTTGTGTTCCGTGTTACACACAGTGTAACTATTTATTGAACGTGGAAAGTGTCCACATATTTATGAATAAATAAACATACTCAGTCTAATTAAATATTACACGTAAATATCGTATCATCAAAGAACAGAGAATAATTAGTTTGAGGGTTGATTTGCTTGACCTTTGTTAATTAAAAATTTCTCTACTATTGCGAATACCATATAGTCCTGAATTCCTCGAAAATTGTATCCCCGATTACCCTGCATTTAATTCTACGACCAATACCATAACTTACTTCTCAAATACTACGTTGGACAACATTTTAAAAAACAGTATTTCATTTGTTAAAGTTAACAGGAGTACCGTCTTGGTAGAATTAGCAATTAGCTCACGTTCAGTCGCGTAGTTTCACCGAGATCTAGCATTGAGTTGCTTTAGATGTTTACTTATCTAGTGTAAATTGTAGAATATTTATTCCAAACCTTATTATTAGCAATGCCAAGGCATTTAACTGAAAAGGAAAACCAGAAGGTTAGTGTTGACTCTAAACGGTCCCCTTTTTTGATACAATATGCCGTTTACGTTAATTGTTATTGTTTCATCATGCATTCTAGGATACGTGCTTCTTATGATGTTTACAGAAAAGCAATAACCCATCCTACCACCTCCGGTCTATATTTTATTTCTCGGTGTGCCCTCCATTTGTAAATATTTCTATCTGTCTGTCGAACGCATCAAACAGTCGCACACACATCGCAACAAGTGATTGTCGCATGAACTTTCTTACCACCGATCCAAAAACCTTTTCAACACACGTGTTTGTTGAACGTACGAGCATTGTTACAGGTAGATCATCTCGTTAACGATAATCAAATTAAAAAACAATGCCAATGCCGACAAAAAGAATTTATTCTAAGAAATCTTTTTTACTCGAATGTAAAATGAAATAACTTGAAATATTGTTTCAAAAATACTCAGGTCCGATTACTATAATTCTTGAATTGTCATTGTTTTTCGATATTTGTTCACATCAAGCAACAATTCACACGACTATGCTCGAACTTTACTTCTTCGCTAGGTTTAATATTCGTTTCTTTGTGATCTGCAGCGATTACACGAGACTCTTGTTGTTAGAAATTTTGTTTAGTGCGGTGTTACGTTTTCCTTCACTAGATACAGATGGCTTCACGATAGATTTCAGTTCACAATTTTCTTTACGATTGTTGTTTCGAACATGATATTCTCTATGCACGACGTCATGCCAATTATATATTCATTAATTTCTGCAAACACGTTCGATCTACGATTCGCAAGGTCTTTGACGATCCCTTCGTTGAAATTGCACATTCGTATGCACCACCGAATATCGATTGGCTGTCGTAGTCGATCACGCGAGCTTGACGATGTTTGCGTTTGCTTGACGTTTCGGTTAGCGACAATCAAGTTTAACGAACGCCTGCTGTTTGATCTCGTAGAAAGACTTTTTTTGCACCGATACTGTACAGCATAGATGTATGTTTGTATGTATGAATCTCTGGACGAATGCAATATACTGAGCAATAATTGATATGCTGAGATTAGAGAGCCTTCGTGATCGATGCTTGCAAGAAGTGAGATCGACACGAGACTAACTCGAACTAGGAAATTCAACAAATTATGAAACTTTGGGAATGTATAAAGGGTTCATTGTCGCTGGAATTATACATAAAATTTAATCGAGAATTTAAGATTGAGATGCTTTTCATTTTTATTACTTATATTATTTGGATATTCGAACACAAGCGTTCGAATAGATCCGTGTATGAGTGTATATGATAAAAATTAGTTTGATAAATCATAGTCAACTCTGCAGTAATCAGGCCAATACGTTCGACTAAATAGTACAGACAAATTGGTGGATCCGTGTCGCGAATCCGTTTTGAAAATGGATAATTGTCGGGATTTTGATGCAAATGGCCCTGTGCGGCACGGCGCAACGCGGTGCGGCGTGTGTGGGTGAGCGGAGTGGCTCGCGCTACCGCTCAAACGTCTTACGTAGGTGTGCTGACTATATTTGCATCGCCATAGATCGTACGGGCCGCGACTAACGGATCGTATCGATCCACTTGGACTCATTTCTCTGTCTCGCTCGCAGTCAGCTTCGTAGGAGCGACCAGCACCAGCCAGGCACCGAGGAAATCGGGAATCGCAACGAGACATCCTCGACGAACAACGTCTCGGTGACCAGAAGCCCGTCGTCGGCCGACTTGAGCTCCGAGGACGCCGAGGATTTCCGAGTCGCCGAGGACACCACCACGTGGTCTTCCCTCGCCATCACTCGCGACAACGTGCAGATCGATAGCTCGAACAACGAGACGGAGAATTTGAATAACAATCTATCGATACCTAGGATCCGCAGAAACAGTTCTATCGAGAGCTTGGCCGATTACGAAGGTAATGATTATAATTGATTGTAAATTTATTTCATTGGATTTGTTTAAGCATTTTTTAATTTTATGAAAATAAAAGTTAAATGATAGTGATTATCAAAGAACATTTATGACGCAAGCAAACTGAAATTTGCAAACTTATTTTTCTCTTTGTAGAATTTGAAGGGGATTGAATTCTTCTAATCAGAACATTTAATTTCCTGTAGTTATAATGCACGAGTTCCTGGTCCAGCAGATCTAATTATACACTGAATTTACTGTTACGTTCTCTTCAAGGTTTTTCCCCGTAGCTCTGTGATATAACTACACAACTTCTTGTGAGTTCAGTGTTTACATTGTAGACTAATAGAAAAGTATTCTCTATTTTTCAAAAAGACCAAGTAGAATTCATCATAAAATATCGAAACCAGGAGACAATGATTAATTATAGAGAAGATTTTAGCAGTTGTGTATAATAAATCGATATCAACAATAATTTGATCCATCCTCGAGAGAATCTATTAAAAATTTCATGAAAACGCTCGCTAAAAATATGATAGTTTAAATAATCTGCTGAGATCAGTCTTCTCGTGATTTGTCATCGTAATTGCTGATTCATAACGCAATTTTCTTCAATTAACACTTTCAAGAATTGCCCTGCGCTCCTATAAAATCCACACTATGTGATCGTAGTGATTCTATGATAAAAATTCAACTATGATTTACTAGAACCAAAATATGTTGCTAAAATTTTCATCACAGAAATTCCACGTGCCAATTGAAAGGCTAACCAGTCTCACTTATATTCCATAGCAGTGGATATGAAAATGATGTCGAGTGTAATATCAACAAACTGGGTTCAGTATTATCATAAAAGTCACGAACTTCGGTATTTCAGGCAGATCCCCAAGTTCCACAAGAATGACTTTGTCCTTGACATTAACCGCAATTCTTTCGACCTAATGACGCACACGACCTTGATATATTTATAGAGTTAAGCACTAATATATCGCCCAATTTGGCTGGGTGTCTGCTAAACAAACAAAAACAAAAAAAAGAAGCCATCGAACGAAATAAGGACGTCCGTGTGTTTTCGTTGTTGTCCTGATTGGAATCTTAATCTGTCTTTATGTTAACTTTACCCTTACTTATAATGAATTTATTTATTAATTTACTAAGAAATACTTATCAAACGACAGAATCGAGAACATTGCAACGACTGAACACAACTGCTCAATCCCTGAAAACCAGAGTCAAAGACCGACAAGTTAAATATACATAAGATAAGACCGATATTATCTTTTCGAAAACTCGCGTTCCCCTGCACGAAAACGCGTCGACGCGTCAAGTCAATCTGTATTTTGATGAAACGGTTCAATCACGAGATCCCCCTCTTCTGGATCAGTATGCCTGGACAGCTGCGATGAGTCAGTGCCGCGTTACTATGCCCGATTATACTGTATTCCGGCAATGTTCAACGAGCATGAAATTCCGCAGGGCGTAACTCCTCTCACGAAGACTCGTCCCACGAGTTGACACCGTCCGAGTGGTCCGACTGGTCCGAGGAAGGAAATCTACCCGCAGGTTGTCGCGGTATCGTCAACCCGAACTATCCAGGCTTTCAACACCTGGCGCCTTCGCTTCTCTCGGACACAGATCTGACGGAGGACGAGCACGAGAGCTGCCCTGATTACGCCACGCTAAACGAGATCGACACTCGACCAGTCGAGAACGACAACGAGTATAATAACAACATCGAGGACAGCATCAACCATCTCTGCGGGCAGAAAAACCAGCGGAAGACTTTCTACGAGAAGCCCAAGTTCAATATACAGGTAAATCAATCCTTGCATGTTATTTATGGTATTGGATAAAGTTTTAAGTAACGTTTGAGGAAGGATAAATTCCTCCTATGCCTACTTCAAGAAATCCCAAGAAACCAAAAGAATCGATTTCTCGATCTCCAATCGCTGGTGCGCCTGCCTACGCCAGGCCAGTCACGAAGCCCGCGAAACTGATTGTCGGTTCTCGGCTCTGCTTCCAGACCGTAACATCTTTGTACGAGTCGGTGGTGCCGCCTTCGGAGAAGTGCATAAACTACGTGAAGAGCGTCGAGGATTCGAGGACGGAGGAGAAGATACTCTCGCCGGAATCGGTGATTGTTAACAGCGTCGTCGAGGCGGAGACGCATCTGACGGTGCTGGAACCGGAGGAAGCACTCGCCGACACGGTATCCGTAACCACCACTGAATTTTCGGAAGCGATCCTGAAGGACAAGCAGGATCGCGAGGTCTCTGTCGAGGTGGAGATCGTCGAGCTGACCACCAGCGTCAAGGAGACTCTCCAGTTTCCAGAAATCGAGGAGATACCGGACTCGGGGAAGACCAGCGAAATTGGCGAGGTGGGTATCGAAATGTTTCTTCTCATTACCTTCGTGTAACAAGCGAGTGATGTCACAGTCGTTGGATAACGCGAACGGTAATCAAAAGATCGATCACTCGATACTGTGGATACGGTAATGTGATCTCGTGTTTGTTAAGAAAATGTTTGTATTAGGTTGATGCATAAGAAGGGTCGCGGTCGGTTATCAAAACTTTAAGAATAATTTCTACGTAATTCTAAATGTTCAACATTTTAGCCTCGCGATGATTCTTTATTCAACCCAATCTAAATTAGACCAGATGCCTTTGGAGAAGTCAACAACTCAAATACTTTGAATACAATTTTTAAGTATACTATAAAGTTGTCGTTTTTTTCTTTTATTATAAAACAGATGTCAATACCAGAGTAGAAGGATTGCTATTGTCTCAACAAATAGAGCATTGAACGAATATAGATGGGAAGTAGGTAACACGTGTTTAGCGTCTATTTTAACGACACCGTGTACGTCTTGCAGCAAATTGCATCACGTGTATCATATTGCACGTGTGAACGAGACGAATCGCGTTTGCGTTGAATTTTCTAGTGGAAAGGATTTCAAAAGCGTTTAATTGCTGCGATTTTTCACGCGAATTAAAGACCGTCTGCAACGTAAACGTTTCTTCGTTGTACCGAAGCGATCTAAATTAACGGGAATTTATTTTAATTAATAATTAACAAATAGTAATTACATCGCGAAATGGTCTGTGTAACCTTCTATAAAAAATGATTACTAACGTTATTTCATAAATTAATTACTATCCGAGAATTTATTCCTTATCGAGCACGCCGGCACTCGTAGCTCATGTGGAAGGCTAACGACTGCATACGAGACGCACACGCGTGCAGACCGCATTAATGTATTCAGCATCGTTCACGGCACGTTCCTCATTTTAAAACAGCGTAACTCTCAACTGTTTCACGTCGTGTAGTTACACGGCAGCGTTAATCGTAAATTTCCTGAAACTTTAGCCACGGACTTGCTTCCACTTGGCAACTGAATGCCAGCTAGTAGGAATACAGATCAGCTTCGACTATAAAAACTGACGTCAACGTATGAAATACTCCAAATTGTAATCGATACAGCAATATAGTTGGCAAAAAAGAAACCCCTCTTAACCCTTTACAAGTTACCGGTACTCGTTGTTACCACTAAATAAATAGATTATGACAAAAAAAGGAAAAAAATGCCCAGGGAGTTCAGCTCTATAAAGTGTTAAATCACGCGTAGATAAACGTTAGTCCCATTCTTAATCTTTATCGTATGGTATTGCGGTTTGCAACGACGACGAAAGACCTGACGAGCGTTTTTATTTTTCAGACGGAGGATATCGTGGTGGAGGCAATCGACCTGATACGCGAGGCAAAGGAGTTGCCTCGCCAGGCACGTTCCAAAATAGGCAACCGTCAGACCGTCACGTCGAACGGCTCCGCCGACGACGACTCCGGGAGCAACACGGACACTGACAGTTACCCAGAAGAACAGCCCACCTACACCAAGCTCGAGGAAATCGATCTCCTCTCGAGCATCGGCCGCGATATCGGGGTAGATCTCGAAAAATACGTGCAACCGGTGCCCGACGTCGTCGCCATGGAGGCTCTGGATCCGATTCACGTCTCCACGCGATCTTCCTCCGCCATCAGCATGATCAAAGACGCCATCGAGGACACCAACAAATTGCTCGATCGCGATCTACCGGAGGCCTCCAGCGCGGACACTAGAAAAAAAGAGAAGATGGCGAGGAACCAGGCGAAGAGGAGACAGCAACAGCAACAACAACACCAGCAACAGCTGAGGACGTCCAACGGACAGAGACGTCCTGATAAGAGGAGGGCGTACACGGATAATGGTCCAGGTACTTGATTGAAAACTTGGATGATAACCCTGGGTATTATATTATTAACAGAATGTTGTCTTCGCGAGTTGCGTCATGTTTTAACTCATGCACCTTCGGTATATATAGTTTTTATTGACGAAGGTCAGTCAAATATATTAACGAACATATCAACTATAGTGGCTTTCTCTTTACTCTTCTTCGACTAGAAACGGAAGTGTACTCTCGTTACCCTTTGCACCGCGGAAACGCGATTACGTTTAATTTACTGTTGCTTCACAGAAGTGAAATTTTACGGTGCGAAAGTATGGAAGACAATGACCCATGCGAACCTAACAGTAGGCGGCTCGATTTCGACGCAACTGGGAAACGTATAATCTTGGTCAAACTTGTTCCTTATTTTTCACGTCTATCGTACAGGAATCCTACACGATTACCGTAATCTCTGAGACAATAAAAGTACCTCGTCCTATCTATCATACATGACACGTTTCTTTCGCTGTGGCTGCTCATTTATGCTTTTCCTCTTCGACTGTTCTCTTCCACTTATGACTCTGCAGAGTTCACATTGCGTTCGTGTAAAAAAATATTACCACAATTCTCAGGTCTAAAGGAATGAACTGAAATAGTAGAACAATAGAAACGTTTTCGAACTCGTGGGGTCACTTTATGTAACGTTTATAACCATTAGCTTGTCCTACTTGTAATAACAATTGAATGGTTGGGAATTATTCGAAATGAATATTTAAGGAATGTGTGTCTTGTTCTGCTTAGAATCCTTGATTTTACGGTAATAAATAAACACGCAAAATATTATGAACAAGTGACAAAGACAAGTGAATTTGTAATAGTTTGTGTGTAATAAAAAAAAATATCAAAATAAATATAAATATTGACAAATGAAAAGTAGAATAGCGGAACCCAAATTGGTTTGAGCTTGTTAGTCAGGGTCATTTCAACCGATATAGCGCACACGATACGTGACGTATTGTTTTCTTCTCGTTAAAGGTGGCTTCGACGTATACAATATCGAGACTGCGATGCCGAAGATCGACTTGGACGCGATTGAGTCTCACTTGAGAGCCGCGCGCGAGGAGGAACGACGGGTAAGTGAAAATTATTACAAAAATATGTGTTATGGTGGCTAAAATCTAGCGATAGGATCAAGTTCGATAACTCGGAGATAACCTACATGGTAAGTTGAAATGTTGGAAATTTATTATTTGAAATAGCAACGAAGAACTAAGTTCTTATCAACTGTTGGCAAACAAGTGTCTCCTATGTACTTTCAACTTGTTTTCAAAATTATTGGATTATTGGCAATGTTTCTGCTCCAATTTATAGTGAAAATTATTGGAATAGGGAACTAGGTACAATCTCCTTTTTCTGCGGAAGAACACCTCTCGGAGAAACGAGATGAAAGAATCCAATTATCGAAAGTAAAGAAACTATCATGATATGATTGGTTCCTTCGATCGCTGCTCAACCTTTCACTTCGACATACGCACACGTTAATTACGTCGTATATTTACGTGGTAGTGTGCGGTATTAAAGAAAACACAAGCTTTGCGCGAGTCTTGCGTGCAACACGAAAAACGATGTTTTCCTTAGATAAAACTACTTTTGATGCACCTCAGAGATTACCTTCTGTACTTTGTTTGTTGAGCAATACTTTCGTACCGTGAGTTTTTTAATTATGAAATGAAACGACCCAATGACGGTACCCATCGCACCTGTACCAACAGAACTCCTGTTTGAGGTCAAATTTAATAATTAAATGAATAAAAAATAATAAGACAGTTCTGATTTATATCACTTGTGAGAATAAGCTCATAAAGTAGATATGTATAAATCATGTGTGAAACTATGTATAATTAATCTGAAAATAGAATTGATATACAGGATAGAATTCATTCTGTGCTGGAGTGGCACTGTATTTTCAATTCACGAAGTTACGTCAAAAGAACATCTCGAAATTCAAAGTATTACTTCGATACTTTTTTTTAACTTTTACCTACATCACATAATTTCCCCTTTTAAAATGAAACTTCTTCATTTAATTAGGAAGAAATATATTTCTAAAACAAACGTTGTTAGTTTGAATAAGAAATAACCACATACTATTCTTCGTCCCTGATAAACGTTATCATTACGCAAATGAACGTCCGCAGAATGAAACGCGCGAGAACGTAAGGTGGGATATATAATAGCCCCACTCGAAAGGAAAAAGTATCGTAATAAACGAAGCGACTCGAAGGAGGGAGAGAAGTAGCAATTTTGCGTCCAACTGGTCGATGTTCTCACGGATAAAACTGTACGATAAAACTGAATGAATACACACACGCGACGAGATTGAATCGCTTTCGTCGAAGGCCAAAGTATACGCAGACTCGTAATCATAAATGTTGCACGCCTGATAAACTCTGACTCGAACGCTCTAAATAAAGCGAAGGAGGGATACGGTGGGCGTACTCAAAGATACGAGCAGACATCGATTCGTAGCAAAAAATAAGAATTAATTAACAGAAACGAGCACGTCGCAGCATTCTACATTTACTACCATTTTAATTGGAGGAAGTTATTTATTTATTAATTTAAATATTTATATCGAACTTTATTATTGTTTCAAGTAGGCAATAAATGAGAAAAGACTGTATTTTTATATTGTATATGGCGGAATTAATTTTTAATTTGCTCATTACTTTTCATTTTCTTTACACTCACCGTTTCTACGAATTCAAGCTTTGAGAAAACGTAAAAGGAACATATCGATCCTATTTTAATTTCAAATCTGTATAATCTCTCAATAACTGTGTCCGTTGAGGAAAAGCGTCCAGATTCTCGGCTCGCGGATGGGAATTTTAATTTCTCGCGCAGATTCCTCCACGGGCGGAGAAGAGGAACAGCACTTCTCGTAATGCCGACGAGATGTTTCGCGGCGAGTGTTTTCTGGATTATTGACGCGGAAAATAAGGTCGACGAGGTTTACGACCCCGTTTCGGGGTCCCGATAGCGAGAGTCTCATTAAATGCACAGACGATCTATATTTGCCCAGTGCAGTGGCCATTGTATGGAAATAGGGGAGCAGGAAACGGATGCCGGCGTAGAGACGATCAATGCGACTATCGCGCATAGCCTGACACATTTCGACGCGTGAGATCCGACGAGGGTTTAACGTCGATAATCAGGGAGAATCGCTAACGAACGGTGTCACCGTTTCCCGCGCACCAGCGACAAGTTTTTTACATTTCAAGTATCGTCATTCAGCTGCCCGTACATCTTTGAGAAGAGGCAATTACATTTTTTTAATTTATAATGTCAAGAGACGCAGCTATGTAGAGAGAGAGAGAGAGAGAGAGAGAGAGAGAGAGAGAGAGAGAGAGATGTTATATACGTATAGAGAGAGACTCCTCTATGTTTTGTGGGATATTACCATAAACATATGGAATGGTAAATTTGCGGAAAAACGTTGTTTACTCGGCATCCAATTTTGAAAGAGCACGACTCGCATTATAACAACTTGAGATAACGTATCACTGCACCTTAGAAGATGAGGCAGCCGTAGGTCAAACGATTTGCATGAGCAGCCAAGCGAAGCACTTTGCGTACAACTTGCGAGAGATACATCGCAGATCTTCAACCGCAGCTGTTCGAAAACAAGTTTCGAAGAAGTATTTTACAAACGATTCCGAACGGAGGAAGCGAACGTAATTACGGTACCGAGAGTGACGGTCGAAGAAGTTTAAGGAGTTTCGAACCCAGACGGAAAAAAAGTAAGACGCAATTTCATAGCAATCTTGTAAACATTGAACTTTTAATCAAACTTATGTCAAACTTCAAATTTCTGATACACGTTCAAAATCAATTGGTCAGCTGGACAGTTTATTATAATATTTAATTATTTAAAAGTGTTATCTTTTTCTAAGAAAAAACATTTAACCTCGCGAATTATTAAGGCTCATCGTCGTCAATCGTGCCACTAGATTCAGCAATTTCTTCTACAATCAGGCTACAAAAATACCTCTTTAAAAATTTTACCAGATATACTTGAAAAACATTTCACGATGTTCCGGATAAAAATTCCTAAAAATCGACTTCTTTTATGAATCATCAGTGTTAATATCCCAAGTTATAGGTGGTTTACGCTCCAAGCAAAATGCGTATCGCGTTCTAGTAAAGCGGTTGGCAAATCCACTAGAAAGTCGAAATGAACGAGCAGCGTATAAATCCATGGTTCATATTATTGTTCGAGACTAAGAAAATTATCTCGTTCCTGACACCAATAAGCAGGGACGTTCGCGTCAAAGCGTGCCCAGACACTTTCACCGTGGACTGCGAAAAGCCCAGCTAGTCCAGCCTCCGTAGACGGTTAATAGCACCAGCTCCACCACCTCCTTCGAGCAGCAAACCTAACCGGAAGATCGGTTCGCCGCTCACTTGACTCGCTTTACGCCAGTCTCGTGTTGTTCTCGTCTCGCGCGTGTCTCATGGCAAAAACGCAAGTAGTCGCGCTTTCGATGTACCCTGGCGCGACCAAGAAGCCCCCCAAGCTCGTCGACGACAGTGAATCGTTTAAAAAGTGAACATCCTCATAGGAGACAGTGATCACCTGATCGATTTTCCGCTGGTCGAATCGCGAAACGTCGTCGAACGCGCGTCAAACTCACCGATCGCAGGTGACGCTTGTAATTTCGACGGCGATCGATTTCCACAGGCTAGGATTTTCCCTGAAACGCTCTGGTAATTCGATCCTCTGCGGCTTCCGGTTACGGGCTACCTCTGTTATTTGTAAACCAACGTTTCGTCATCGTTGCGGTCAGTTTTGTCAGGGTCAGAGCAGACATCGATATTGCTAGCGAGGCACAATAGGAGCTTGAATAACGTTGTGTGTGGGATCGAATCATCGTCAAGAATTTAGGGCCTATTTAGGTTAATATTAATATTATTCTCAATTCCTAATAAAGTTAAACCACGCTTTTCTATCAAGACAGGAGAATAAAACTCGCCAAGACCACAACAATTAGTAGAGTCTTCTAAAAACACAATTGTCACAACAACAAAAACAGATGTAGCAAAATCCTCCCGCGCGAATCTTTTCGACATACTAGGAAAGAAATTGAAAGATGTCTCGGTGCGTTGCAGGTAGCTCGTAACACCAGTTTCGGAGCACTGGTTACGGTATTACACGGTAAATAAAAAGAAAGCTGACGGCTGTAAATGGACTGAACCCGTGATTTCATTCGAGTGCATTGCACCGTGAAGAAGTCGTCGAAAAACTTCTATGCTGACACCTCGAACCTCGAATTGCTCGAATACCTTTCTCCTCGGTTCATCGCGAGAAGAAACTCAGCGTGTGGGTTTCTGCGATTTAAAATTCAAACCTGACGCGAGAAGGGGCTCATGGTACTCCTCCGACGAGCTAGTCGACTTTGTGTCACCGTTTACTGGCTCCTCGTTTCATGAAGAAATTTCACGTGTCGAGTTTTCCTTGGCAAGGAAATCTGGGCAGACGATACTGCGCAAATGAAGTGAAGAGAAAGCGGATATTGTTCGGCGGACATAAAAAATTGGCGGAGGAAAACTGGAGAGGCTAGAAAGTGGACGAACTGCAGCGAAACCTTGAAATATGGGCAGCAGTAACAAGTCGAGGAGACACTATAAAAAGGACTCGCGATTCGTCTCGGACCTTTACACCTTCACATACGACGACTTTGATCTTGTAAGATTAATTTTTCGCAGTCAACTTGACGAATGGCGACAGGGTCTTTTCTCTCGTTATTAATTTTCTTTGACATTACGAATGATTTTCTATTTGCCTTGTTGTGTTGTCAAGGAAGAGGATCGTTATTTAGCAACAAGTGTCACCTTCGCCATCCGAGACACAAGTAGATCGTTAGTAGGAACCTAACCGTTAAATACTAGGTGAAATACGAGACATAGTGGTGTACGGAGCGCGTAAGTGGGGCTCTTTTCTATTGAATTGGATGTCTCATTCATATTGCATCAATCCCGATACTTGTCCACTTGCAACACGATTTTCCACTTTAGAGGCAGCTATGTAGGCTCTATAGAAGCTCTGCACGTAAATAAACACATCATTTTGAAGCGTAACTCGTTTTGAAAAGTAGAAATGTTTTATTCATAATTGCTTCCTCTCTTCGTCCACGTGGCATTCGTGAGAATCTGAAGATTTATTTTCAGGGTCGATTGTACACCTTGGAGGCCCTCGTTTCCTCCACTTCCGCAATAGTCTTTGTTCTTATAATCTACCCTAATTGCAGAACGCTCGTATAACTGGTCTCATTAAGATTTTATCTCAGCTGTCAAGTATTTTTTTCACTATGTTGACGTTTATAATCGATTTCCCAAACTGTTCTCAATATTTGTTTACTCTTTATTTATGCTTTATTTCTCACATTCGCGACAGCTGACGTGAATTTACCTCACTTCAAATTCCATTTCAGGTTCTGACAAAATCATGAAAATCTTTTTATTTTATACGTTTCATATTTACAACATTGATATTTCAAAACATATTTTGTAATTGATAAGACGATAGACAGGAAAGGGGAGTTTGTTTCGGTGATAAGATATCGACAACGAAAGCATTGTTTCGATAACCCTGTCCGATAAATAGTTCCCTACACTTGCTGTTCCAATGGAAGGTCGACGACCGGATGGATTTGAAACACAGAACAGGGAAAGTGGGTCGTGATTGTGAAGTGCTAAGACGTTAATTTTGGCATTCACGCGCTAGTTAATTACGCCAAGGAAAAAGAAAGTTTCGTGAGATTCGATGGAAAGCGAGATCGAAGTAGCAATATCGAATCTGTAAATTCATCTACCTCGCATGTGGCGGTCAAAAAAATAATACAGATGAGGTTAATTAATTTTTAATGACCAGTAGCATTCTTACAATAATACTAATTTTAAAAAGATGCATCAAAATGTCTCGTATTGACTTTGTTGAAGAAAAGAATAGTAGCTTCGTTTGAAAATGACAGATTGAACAGTAAAGGGCAGAATAACGATTTTCGGAACGTCCCATGAAATAGTAGAATTTCGCTAAGGTTAAAAGATTTTTAAACGGAAATCCTCGCTTTGAATAGACCCTTTCAACGAAAGCTGATTCTATTATTCTGAACTTCACCTTCGCGGTCCAATGGATTCTTCTCGCACGACTGCCCTAGTCAATTTATTGGAAAAAATATTTAACATTCAATGTATACAGTATGTTAGCATTTCAATAGGCCAAACGTCAGGAATAAATTGTTAAACTTGGCAGGAGACCATAGTACCCTACAGTAGACGAAGTCTGATTTATTAACACGTATGTTAAAATAGGACAAAGACATAATCCAAAGAAGTTATCAAAGCTTTAAAGAAATGCTTCAGAAGACACCAAACTATAAACAGTACCTTTAAAGAATTTCTACAAAGAAGTTATCGAACAATACACAATTCGTTAACAAATTTTGTTTGCTAACGAATTTTTGTTGGATTTCACAATCAGTAAAATCTATTGCTACAGTAGATTACAAAACAGTTACGTTCTTTGTTGACAGTGGAAACGTGTTCCATTATTTAAAAACTGTATTTAACACAAGATACGTTATATTCTGCTTGAAATAATAACACGTTCTTTGATAATAACACGGTAAAAGAAGAGCCTGTACCCAGGTAAATATCTGAGTCTTCTGAAACAAGACCTCGAACACGATAAAAAAACAGTGTACTCTGTTAAAATTGAAACTTACTAACTAAAATATACTTAAAAAATTGAAAGTCTAGTATAATCATCTAACTGTACGATAGATCACTGTATCGAACACAAAGGCAAAATGTGCCAAAAGTAGATGACACAAGATTAGATCGTTGGGGTGGGTTGGGTACAATAGTCTTTCCTTTGACTGAAATAAATCTGTCTCTGTCGCCATTCCAACGGTTGAATGTCGCTTTTTTATCAATACCTCGTAATCGAATGTATCGGTTACCGTGCTGGCATTCATTTCTGGGGCATCAGGACGATGATAAAGAGCCGGCCAAGGAACAGCCAAAGTCAGGAGCGACGGTGGACGCGTTGCTCCAAAAATCCGACGAAACGAAGGAACCTGTAAGGGAAGATCTTGTCGCGCGATTCGATAGAGTCATACGAGGCGATCCAGATGAAACTCTTCAGGTGCGACATTCGCCAATCTTTAACACAAATACTTTTAAAAGAACATATGAACACCACTGAAGAATATTTTACGAAAATAATTAATGATAAAGCGAAATTAGTACTTAAATAGACACTAAATCGATTACAAATTTTTTTTTGTGAAATAGATAAATATTAACCGTATTTCTCTTGAATCTTAAAATAATTTCATTCATAAAAACATGAAGTGTGAATGTCGAGGGTTGACTGGCCTCTTAAAGAGCGATACCAATTTCCTGGCGTCGTGGAATTAAAGCGAGATCCATTAATGGCACTCCCGTGATAATTCGTGGCACATTACGCAGTTTCGTCGGCAGAAAGACGTCAATCTCATTAATGGTTCCATTCCCACGCGAATGTAATTCCGATGGAACTTGAGGAGGAGTGGCGAACTTGAAGGGGGATTAAAGCACCGAGGGGGTTTCCTCCCCTGCGTGTAACGGGTGATCACACATCAGATTTCTCTGTCCACAGCGACGAAACGACCGTGAAGAGATCCGAAGGAGGTTGGCGATGGGTCCAGACGCTGAAGACTTGCGCGCTGAACGCGGAAGAAAGCCCAGCCTTCAGTCGCGGCTGCAAAGCGGTCGGTATCGCTCGAACCCTTAACGCTCCCGAACACCTTGCACCCCTAGAACCATGCTTCTTTCTTGTTTCATTGTGAAAACATTCGCGCGCAATCGTACCGCCACACTTACCAATTAACGTGGAAATGGTACGTCTGATGGGATCTATGGTGACATTTTTTCCAATAGAAATAGTGTTGGTTAATGATTGTGTGGGAGGAACAAGTTACAGTGTCTGTCGGTTAATTCAAGAATTTTGTTCGATTTATTTAATCCATAATGTTCTATTTATTTAATATAAAAATAATATCTAATTTTGAGTTAGCTAAAAGAATGATAATCTGAAATAGTTTAAAATGTGCTGTGTGGTTATATATCAAGTGTTCACTCTTATTTGTATAGTCGTGGATCAAATGAAATTCTTGAGTTGATTTACAGAGATATTATTTTTGCAAGCAGTTTGCAAAGTGAAAGCACAAGGGTATGAACAAATTTATTACAGACTTGAAGTGAACTACGAAACTGTTATTAATCTATTATTCGAATAAAATTTTCTCTGCAATCGGTTTAACATTATAGTGTTCATCAGTTCATTATATTTGATTGTTATACGTTCTTCACCTATACTTGAATGAGATCAAACAAATTACGATACAATCTCAGTAGTGGTATAACGATTTAATAAAAAGATATTATAAATACATACCAATTACAAACAATATTTACTGGTTTACTCATGAAGATTATTTTTCAAATTATTGCGTACCTGTAATGATGTACAATTCCAATTTTTAATGTAGTTATAAAACAATAATTTACTCTGCGTTGCACATTTTTCTATTGATTTTATTCTCTTTAATCTCATTATATTCGCAGCAAAACAGACCGATGTACATTCAGACAAGAAATAATGTTCACTAACTCCAGGTGCGAGCACGAGTGGGTTAATTAGCACAGGGAGCATACAAAACAAGCTTCCCTTGTTCTCCCAATCTTTGTTTCGATAATGGTAACACTGCGATATCGAATGAAAATCACAAACTGGTGCACGAAGCAAATGAAATTCATACTTTACAAATGACTGTACATATAAATGAATTCAAATTAGGATTGAATTTAATGAATTTGATTCAAGTTTTGGAAATTATAAAATAAAAATGGTGTTCATTCTTAAATTATCGATTCAACTTAACTCATAGAAATGTTGTTGTTGAAAATGTAACTCTATTCTTCAGGAATGAATCTCCAGATCTGCTTCATGAACGAAACACCCTCGGACACGGAGTCTCCGTGCTCGGAGAACGACGCCTCGCCTGGATCCACGCCAACATCGCTGAACTCGAAGCAACAACAGAAACAACAAATGCCAATTAGACCTCAGGTGCTCAGTCTTCCTCCTTTAAGGCTCGATATAGGATCGAACTCGGCGCCGATCGATGAGGCTGACTTCTTCGCCAGACAGGCCAGGTTGCAGACCGAGGCGAGAATGGCCCTCGCACAGGCCAAAGAAATGGCGCACATGCAGATGGAGGTCGAGAGACAAAGGCTGAAACAAAGTCCCATCACGGAGATGGTCCGATCCAGCCTCGAAAAAGTGAGTACGCAATTAATAGTGACAATTGTTCGTCGATGAACAATAAATAATTGGGGATGTCCTCTTCAATAATACCAAATAATTCGTTTTCTGAATATTTCATATAAAAATATTTCCCTTTACTTTTCTCAGGTCGGTGTCCAGTTAGGCGAGGACAGACGCAGATTGTCCCGAGTACTTTTAACAGAGCTAAACGTCGCGCAGCTTCAAGTAGTGGCGAACGACTTGCACGCCAGAATTGCGACACTGAACGAGGCTCTGGTCGAGGGACTGCTGAGAAGGGACGATTTACACATGGAGCAAGACTCGATGCTCGTCGACGTCGAAGATCTCACTCGATACCTGTAAGTTTGGTTTTCTAGTGACGAGATCATTCTCAGACGGCCAGTTTTTTCTATTTCTGCTCCCATTTCGAGCTGCGCATTTCCCGACAGCTAATTAGGATTAAAGAAAAAGGGGGAATGCTCGTAAAAAGACGTATGCCCCATTTCTCTGAATGCAAAGTAGAACGAGGGCTCTTGAAACAAAAATCGATGTTTTTCCGGCGCTAGGGTTGGCCAACCATACTTTTTTCCTGGCGTTTAAGCCCCTTTGTTTAGCGAATTACGTTCCACGCGAGTACCACCCGCTAGAAGTGAGCGCATTTCCAAGCAAATTCTGCGAGCGTTTCTCTAAACAATTGGGGCTGATTGCGGGAAACGCAGCTCGATCTCCGTTCCTTATCGCGTGATTCTACGCGTCGTAATTAATAGTCTTTCAATCTTTGAACGTGTCACTTGTTATTTGCTACATAATTAATTCATTGGTATCGAGTAGAGTTTTTCTGTGAAAAAAAAAAAGAGTACCCCTTTAACAATACCACCACCAACATCCTCCGTGCAATCCATGACGATCGATATATGTATTTTCGGGCCTGTCGCGCTAATAAACAGCTTCTGCTGCGTTCGCATGCACAGTGGTGCCAAGCAGGAGTCCCTGAAGAAGAAGCAAAACGCGAGGGATCAGCAAACCGCGAGCAGAAGTCATCAGCAAACGACAGCCGCGCAGAACAAGTCGTCCATGAAGCCGAAGCTGACGCACCGCGGTCTGGTCTCCTTGGTGAGAAAATAATGCCTGGCCACGAGACTGCGTGGTCTCGTCGGAAATTAATCGAGCAGAAAGCACTGTACCATGAAGACGCGATACTTAGGGTAGATCACCTCGAAAGCCATGGTCGACGAGCTGTGGATTCGGAACCGAAGCGCAGACTCGATCGCGTCATCGATCGCCGATGCTCGAAATCTCTCATTAAATCAAAGTGTTTTGAAAGAAAATTCGATTCGGAAGGAGGAATCGCGCGATCTCTCGAGACGGAAATAGCAGTTGTTTCACATGGAAAGACTAACGAAACCAGTTACATTGTCGTTTCGCTCCTGTCGTAGATTCAACGAGAGTTGAAAAGAAAAGTTCAATAAAACTCGTTCCTCTCCCTTATGACAGTTGGAGAGGGAAAGAGTGGTTTTTGCCAGAATTTCGAACATTTTTACAGCTTCGTCGTTACCAAGTGAAAGTATAATATACGTACATATATACATAACCGGACAAGTAGCAACGAGCAAAGTACCCTAACCATTGTAGTCCTGATCGAAACGAGTCCCCTTGTCTATGCAGTGCGCTTCTGAAACGTTTGGCCAAGCCTAATCGATACATTCCACTGGAAAACTATCGCATTGTCATGAACAGAATTTTTGTTTTAAAGAAAAATAATTTCTTGGAAAAGATAAATAGAGCCAAGAAACTATTCTTTTTGCAATACAATCGTAGGTCCTCGGTATCGCTTGATTTCAGAGTTACGGAGACAGAAGATACATACGTTTGCGAAATGTTTCAATGTTAGAATAAAGTATCAAGCGTGTAAATATTATTTGACATTGTTCGAATACGATAACGGGATGTAAATATAAATAGGAGAACATTCGTCGGAGCCCAAGCTTTCAGATTTCTTCGATTGGGAGATCGGTTCGGAACGAATTACTTAATTAGAGAGACCACGATGAGATAGTTGTGGCGTAGAGGAGCTTGTCACTTTTCTCGAAGGGTCTTCCTGGAACGCTTCGACTGATGCGTAAGTTTGCGCAACTGTAACTTGAAACGAAAAGTATTCGCAGAAAATATAAAACAGTTTTCATCAGAACCAACGTAAGTTTGGCTGAACTATTCAGGAGAAGCCTGCGCGTCCAATTTCCTCCCTCCGCTCTGGTTATATCTTGCAGCCGTGCATGCATGTGTTTCCCGAGTGTATCGCCTTTATATGATAGCGTTAAACGGTAGGCAGATCTCTTCTCTATGTTGTAAATAAGCGAACAGCCGTGGTTCTGACGGCCAACCAGTTCTGCAGCACGCGTTCCTCCGTCACCAGGATTTTTTCTTCTCCCTAGTCGAAGACGTTTCTCTTTCTCTCGACGTCTTCCAAACCCCGGCCCTGACACGGGCCGAATCGACTCGCCAGGCGACCGGGTAATTTGCCAGCAATTTACTCCTGGCGTAGCGTATCGAGCAATGATCAAGATGGAACGACGTCGACGCGCGTGTCGCGTGATCCAGAAGTGTCTGAGAACGAAAGCGTATCATTGTAACAGGAATTGATTCGACAGTGACAGATAACGTTGAGGTAAAGACACCGGTAAGAGACATCTGTAAGGTTCTTGTTTTAACAGAAAATTTGCTGTGCTTCTGTTTCTTATTGGACTGCAATGCCTCTTCTTTATCTCTCAATACTTTGAGTTGAAACAAACGAAATTCGATATGCTCTTTAACACACAATTATCGAAAGGATTAAGGATAGTTTGTCTAGTTCTCAATCTTAAACATTGGATAGAAAGATAAATGGGCTCAGCCCACTTTCATAATAAACTATTCTCTCTCACTTTTGTTCTTCTAAACTAAGTTCCAACTTGACCTGAGTTTAATTCAATTGAACGAAAGAACGAAATGTATTTCAATGAAAAGCGTGCACGAATAGAAGCCGTAGAAGCTACGCGTCGACGTTGTAAAAAATTTGATACCTAAATGTATCGCTTGTTTTCATTTGCTTGCGTAACATTAATGCAAGCTTTCTGTAAAAGTAACTGTGTGAAAGAAGCGACTTCAATCATTTGTACATACACGTATTGTTTTGTAAAAAACCTCCATGCGCCGAGAAAAACGACGTCATTTGATCATTTCATCCATTTTAGCAAACAGTGTGTTCCCGAAGATCACTTTTAATCGTCGAATTTTGTTTATTCTGTTCCATTAGTTTCACTTTGTACAAAAACAAAACTCACAGACACGCGCGCGCGCGCGCGCATACAGGTTCGAGGAACTACTGGTATTTAAAACTAGTTATTAAAATCGTGTAGTGATGAAGTGTATTTAAAAAGAAAAACAAAACAAGTCTATCGAATGTAAGCAAACTTTATCGTTCTATTTATACTTACAAAAATTAACACGTATATTTATCGAAACCTACTCACTTAATATCACCAAAGAAACGAATACATTCCTTTTATATCTTAATGCAACGCTAACAACTACGAAACGTCTTATTTAAATACTCTATTTATATTGTAGTAATGTTTATTCAACCTTGTGATCGTACTTATTTAATAATTCGTTTAGTAAAGTATTTTAGGATCGTTTGAAAAGTTTTTTTTTCGTCTATTTCATTGCTTGGTACGAGGAAGAGATCAATTTCAGTTGAAACAGTTCTTTCTCTTTGTAAAAATGCATCACCGTGTATCGCAACGAGGGAAGGGAACGAAGAACGAACCTACATATCCAGATATCGAACACAGGAACGATCGAGCACGCATAAAAAGGAAATGTATAAGAAAGAGGAAAGGAACAAAGTGGCGATTAGTCCATGTGCTAACCATAACAATGTATTCGAGTAGGAGAAACGGACTGATTAGACGATTCGAAGCAAAAATTCCTTTATCGACCGCCCATTAATGACAACTTAGACTTAGCAAAGGTAATCAAAAGTATATACATACATATATATTATATACGTTCGTATACTTGAAATGGATTAGTCCAAATTTTGCATAAACGTATTCACGGAATTCCATGTATTCATACTTAAAGATCTACCAGGTACAGCGAGTTTATTAAAAAAACGAGGCAAGATGTATATGTACAAGTATCGAATTCCGAAGCCCTTTAATTTCGTATTTGCGCTCCCTTTTGCCTCAATCACTTAACGAAGACACAAAGTTATAAGCGAAAAAGTGGCAAATAAAACGCAGAATGTTTGATCTCTGACAAGTTATTCGAAGTTATTCACCCATCAAAAAAAACAAAGCATTAGTATGCGACGATCTCTTCATTCACGTCACACAATTGTTCGAGGAGGGGAAGAGCGAAGCGATTAGATCGTCAATCTCAGGAAATAATTAAAAGGTCGTCGACACGTCAACCGCAAAGAGTACCCTTTCATTAATTCGAGACATCGTCCCAGCCCGTCGCTGCATTATAAACGAACCAGAGCCACTAATTAATCATCGATCGCATTTCTAATTAAAGATCAAGTATTCTTTGAAGTTAAAGAAGCCAACATCGCACGATAGAGATGAACAAAATCACTCCACAATATAAAATAAAGTCCCTGGTAACCGTATGTCTGTTTAATGCGATTTTCACTCTTTTATAAAGCATTTCTTGCGGAAGGTTTAGGTGTAGAAACATCAATCTTCTATACACGATGAAATCGTGTTCTTTACAGTAATCAATTTACATTTATTGTTTAGGAGATATCGTCGTTTTATTGAAAGCGCACTCATTATGACAGTCATAGTCAACTTGCCGTTTTATCAGCTATGAATAGTCGTAACACCTTTAATACAGACCGATGGACATGAAACAAAAGACGGACATACAAAAAGACCCCTAAACTACTCAATAGTACCTACAAATGCTTCTAACGAACTTTAAATAAAAAGAAATTCAAATTTCCCGCGGGAAATTGGTGCCGCCATCTACCGGTGAACATACCGAACTAATTTTCGGAGTATGGTCAGCGCCTCTATCGGGAAAACGCTCAAGTTTGTCCTTGGTGGTTCCTTTTTTCACCGCTAGATGGCGCTTTTAGATGGTAATTACCGACATGATGGTAATGTACCGATAGTGTCGGTAAAAAAAACCAGTGTAAGTAGCGTTATCTAGAGGTGAAAATAAGAACTATTCGAGGACAAACTTGGGCGTTTTCCCGATAGAGGCGCTGACCATACTCCGAAAATTAGTTCGGCCTGTTTACCGCTAGATGGATATTGATTTGAGCGAAAATACCGAGAACCCACAAGAGAAACTGTGTTAGTTTAAAAATTTTAAAACGAAGGCTAGTATTATATAAATAACAGACAACGAGTGAAACCAACAAGCAATTTATTAGTAACATTTCTTCTATTGTATTGTTAATCGTCCATTGTGAAACATATAATTCATTAATTGTATTATTTAATTATAATTCAGAATTTTATAATAATTTCTTTTATTAAATAGTTCAATTTTTATTATCCATTGTGAAACACATATTTTGCCATTTGGATATACTTGCATACTTACGTTTTAAAATATATATTCACATGAAATGCATGTTCCCGCAGTACAGACCAGCAAAATAAATTCTAAACTCTTCCCCTAATTTTGAAAAGAATCAGTTCAAAATTGTTTACCAAACTTTGGTGCTTTGGTGACTAAAAAACGATACCAAGTGTTGTTAAATTGTCTTTTTAATATACTTCCATATTTTTAAAATAAAAAGTTAGAAATATTTAGTTTTATAGGAATTATTTTCTTTTCATTTCTACATTGCTTGTGATGTTGTGTAATAACTTATGTTACAACTAAAAAAAAATCTTTCAAAGAATTCCGACTTAAATATCTATAAACAAATTACCTAAATGGTTTCTTCAAACTTATCGAAGCCCGAAACGTTAAGGTAATAAACGCCCCGACGTTATACAACTCATTTTCATTTATTAACGAGCATCTTCATATCTAACGTTTACTTTCGACTCTCGTAAATTAATTGTACACGGTGTCAAGATGAAAAATTAATCACTAGGGTCAAAATTAGTTTGACATGTCTGGCATGAGGCCTTTTGTACTTGTACAATAATCTGTAACAGGTCCTCGGGATGGGTGCGTTCGTTGCATTAAAAAATAAAATGAAAAAAGGAAAGAAAAATGGCAGTCGAGCGTTGGGCTCTGTTTTGTGTATTGTCTTACCGTTAGCATTATAAATATATAAAGACGATAAAATATCGATCGAGGCCCCTTCGTGCAGGAGAGGATCGTCGGATAGAAGAGATCATCGCGAGATCTGTGGTATCCGACGACGTAACATTCAATTCATTAATTCGGCGATGGTGGAAACGTCTAGACTCGCGTTAATTATCTACAAAATACTTTAATCGTAATATTAATTAATAATATACAGATTGTAAATAACTAAACAATAATAAAATATGCTCTAACAAGTTCTTTCGCTTCTTCTTGCTTCTGTCTCTTTCGTTATCTCGCATTGTCAATTTAATTTTTCAGCCCGCCGCCGGGAAAAGTCCACACGGGGGGAAGAAGGCACGGGGCAGTAGTGGAAATGGTGTTCCTATTTAATCATGATCGATTCGTGCATCTAGCTCTCGCAACTTGTCTATTAAACCAACGAATACGACGTCACGCGCGTAACGAGCTTCCTTTTAGCTTACGGAAGCTCCCTTTCCTCGAGAACCAAAGGAAAAAAGTGACCTGAATCGAGGCCCTCAGGTTAAAACAGAATCTTTTGGAGGAAGCAATAAGTAACATTTTTGGTAGAAAGAACGGTTCTGTTGCGTTTCATCCCTTATCTGTTTCTTGATCTCATCGATAAAATTTTGCTAATCTTAAAAGTTGTAATTTCAAAAGCTAGTACTTCAAAATTTTTAAAGAATTCTTTACTTTAACTATCTTCGCTTTAAACTATCAAATGATATTTCACATTGGTCGAGTGAAACTTTGCCTTTGTAACGGTTCAACCAGATAAATATTACAAATAAATTCCTATGCAGACGCGCTCATTCGTTACCTATTAAGTAAGTAGAATTATGCCCAATTTTCTATCTGACTAGCAAATTCTGGACAAACCGCAATGATATCGCTCTTTGTACCAAAAATTTAGTATCGCTAAATCATGAACTGATTATGACAACAATATTTTTCGTGTAAGTCTGAGACCCGTTGGGCCCACCCTATGGTAGAGACTGCGGAGGGGAGCACCATTTAAAAAGACGTTTAACGCGGGAACACGTAGCGACCTACACAGAGGGGACGAGTTAACAGCCGACGAGAAATTTCATTAATTTTTACCGCTCGTCCCATAGCAAACGTGGTCTACAACGTCGCCTGAGGTACCATGGTAAGAACACAAGCGGCGACGACGAATTAGTAATACGTTCTCTACGCTCGTTACAATTTGCTTTTCCTTTACTTCTTCTTCTTTTTTTTATTTTTTTTTTTTTTTTTTTTTTTTTATCCAATGCCATTAACGATCGCGAAACTCACTCGGCACCGACAACAAAACACCCTAAGCCTCTCGATTATGCGCGTTTCCACTTTCCAAGATAATAGCGAATATCGTACATCGTATTAAAAATTCTTAAGTTACAACTGTAAATATTATCTCTACTATACAATCAAGCTCGTTCGTGGCACTGTTCCTTTAGCGTTCACCATTCTACGACCCATCCATTATCTTCGCGTCCCGTCACGCGGTTGCGTTCTACGAATAACATGGCAATATGATGGACAAAGATTTACAATGTACAAAATTAACAAACCCGTCGAGCCTGCGAACATTCTGAAAGTCTTCTAAGTGGCAAACATAAAACGCTCGAAAAGAGAAGGAATTTAAAAGCGTGGAAGAAATGAAAGAAAAGTAAAGAATTGCCTAAAAGTGTGAAAGTACGTAGACAAAAGTTTCTTTTAGATATTTTAGGCCTTCACAACCAGGTTCTTCATAATTGATATCGAAACTTTATCCACGGAGAGCCTATGTACAGGCTTTTTAATTCCAATGGTTACCTCTTGGAATTTCTTGACTGTGTTGTTGGTTGTCTACTTACAATGCTTAATTTTTGGAAACAAACAGGGACTCAGACCTATCTACCGAGTTATTCTGGGTTATTCACGTATCTGGTGTCATTTAACCCTTGAAAGGACCCAAATATACAATTAATAAATTTCAGCAGATAATTACTGGATCTGAAAAGCCTATAAATAAATTCACAGCAAATAAAATGTTACTATCAACTACAAAGAGTTTCTTTGTTCGGACGGTTCCGAGTGTATCAAAGGAATTTCAAACTCCCGAGAGTTTCGAAGCTCGATTAATATCTCCCATTAGTAAATTCACGGTAAAATACTTTCAATATTCGGCGTTCTACGCTTACACCGATCCACGCATTACGAGGACCCAGTAGAGTCGACCCTCTCAACGCGACACTTTACATACTTTAATCTTGAAACGTATAAAAATAATAATACTATCGATCTGGCGTAGTAAATACACAATATTAGGTGTTTCCAAAGCACGCGTTCAAATAACCGTCAACCGAGCAAACCATTGGAGCGCGATCGACGTTTCTCTGTAACCCTGTCAATGCTGGTTGTCTAGAGTTTAAACGACTGCAAGGAATCGTTCCAGACTTGTCTTCAGAGTTATGTGAAATTTGCATACAGGAGTATTTTTGGTAAAGACGCCGATCACCACATTGCTGTAACTCATGTCTCTACTCAAAAATACTGCTAAAAAGAGCATGTCTCGACGTTCGCTTGCAGAACGCTTGTAGGCGTCCACAGGCCGCAGGTTATCGACAGAACGCTCGTAACAGTTCACGAAGCACCCAAAGGATTAAAAAGTCCGTCCTTTCTATAGAATCGTTCCAGGAATAACGAACGAGCCACTATCGAGTGAAAACAGTTGTTGCGAATGTATATGTACAAAGGGAAAATCATATTTAAGCGTCTACGAAAAAAATCACTACAAAAACTCGACCCATCCTCTCATGGAAAAATGACAATTATAAAACAACATGGTGATCCTGGGAACGCTAGCGGATTATCGACAAACACGCGATTATACGTGCAGTCCGGCAAGTCCGAGGAACACGGGCCACGTTCTTAATTTATTACGACCCCTATGCTCGTTTGTAAATATTATTATCAACGACTTGTAAATAACAGCTGCACGCTTCCGCTCGTTAAAATCGCCTAACTTCCTTCCTAACTTT